CCTGCTCGCCCCGCCCTGCCTCCCCCGCCGCTGTCCTCCCGGCCCGCTCTGTGTTCCTCTTGGCCTCTCTCCCACTCCCTCTTTTCATTCCCCTCCGTTTCCATGACCGCTTCCCAGGTTCATTAACGCCCGGAGACGCATCGTGCAACCGATGATCGATCAATCCAACCGCACAGGTACAGGGGGAAGGCGGGGACAGAGAGCCTGGGATTCTTAAGAGGGAGTCAAAGCCGGGTCCCGGGCTTCTTGGAGCTCAGCCTGCACCTCTGAACCCCCTTCGCAGGGCAGGGTGCAGCCTTCAGCCCAGAGGGCCAGCCCATCGGCGGCTGCACTGAGACGCAGCCACACGTGGCCGTCCGGCCTCCGGGTAAGCCCCGCCGCCTTAGCTAGGCCCCGCTAGAAGATGCCCACCTGAGATTCAATTCAAGTGGAATACAGTGTGTCACTTGCCTAGTGGGGAGCAGGTGATGCCAAGACAGATTTCCTGGTCCCCCACCTTTTCCTTACAACCTCATTTCTTCCAGACTTCAAGCCTAACGCCTCAGAAGGCTCCACTTTTTCTAAAGGGCCAGCACCTTCTTATGACTCAGTCTATCCTGGTAGAGGGATTCCCTAGTGTAGGAAGGGGTGGGGAAGACTTAGAGGCATCTGGGGGTGTCTCTGAAAGACCCACTTACCCTCCTTTCTTGTCTTCCAGGATCAGTGGGGATGAGTTTGAACTTGGAAGGAGAATGGCATTATCTATAGAGGCTGGATACAGGAGAGGTGTGAGTGTCTAAGGGCTAGGAATTGTGCAATTCTCAAACTTCCATTAGACCTCAGGACTCCAAGCGTGGGCACATCCAGAGTAGTGGGTCAGCCTGGGTCCCTGTACTGCGGGCTCCCTGAGGCTTGATGGGAAGATGTTTCATTCATCCATCTGTCCATCCATCCATCATCCGTCCTCCTCGTCCATCTATCCATCCATCTATCCACTCACTTACCCATCCATATCTTTATCCATCCATTACTCAATTACTCATCCACCCACAATCCATCCATCCAAACCTAGTCCACCCATCTACCCACTCAATACCCATCTGACCACACATTCACCCACTTATTCCATTCATCTCTCCACTCACCAACCCACTCATCCGTCTACCTCCACACTGACCAACCACCCACACATCTACCCGTTTATCTGTGCATTCACCCACCTCCCTACCCAGGCATCCACCCATCTACCCATCAACTCACCCATCCATCTACCCACGAATCCCATTATCCATATATCCACCTACCCACCACCTAATATCCATCCATCCATCCATACATACATACACCCATTCATCTATGATACATGTCCAAACACAAATTAAGCCCTTGGCCGGGCGCAGTAGCTCACGCCTGTAATCCCAGCACTTTAGGAGGCCAAGACAGGTGGATCACCTGAGGTCAGAAGTTCGAGACCAGCCTGGCCCCATCTCTACTACAAATGCAAAAATTAGCCAGGTGTGGTGGTGTGTACCCGTAGTCCCAGCTACTCTGGAGGCTCAGGTAGGAGAATCACTTGAACCCGGGAGGCGGAGATTGCAGTGAACTGAGATCAACCTGGGCAACAGAGTGAGACTCCGTCTAAAAAAAAAAAAAAAAAAATTGAGCCCTCACTCCATCCTGACGTGCCTCAGGTAGGGTCTGGATCTTGAGAAGATTCTGGTCTTGTGGGGAAGTTGGCAACCCCAGTGACAATCCAGTGCCACAGTTCAAACAATAAAACATAGTTTCCCCATAGGAGGGAGTCATCAGCTATCTCTGGGGTATCAGGGAGGACTTCCTGGAGGAAGTGGCCTCTGGATGGGGCACTGAAGGATGAATAGGAGTCCACTGCGCAGAGTAGGGAGTAATGTGGAAGGGGGGCATTATTTGACTCTCCCAGGCCTTGAGTCTCCTGTGGCCTGGTATGCTGGCAGCACTTTACAGCATCTTCTCATTTAGTCCTTACCATGACCCTGAAAGGGAGAGACTATTACAGTCTTCATTTCACAGATAAGAAGACTGAGGTTCAGAGAGAAGAGGTCACTTGCACAGGTCTACTTACCCTGCTTACAAAAGCAGGGGGAACACCATGCAAAGGCCCAGGTGAGGAGGCAGCCTGGAGTTTCCAAAGCACAGATCCGAGTTTGACTCTCTCTGGATTTTTTTTTTTTCTTTTTTTTTTTTTTTGAGACGGAGTCTCGCTGTGCTCCCAGGCTGGAGTGCAGTGGCGTGATCTCGGCTCACTGCAAGCTCCGCCTCCCGGGTTCATGCCATTCTCCCGCCTCAGCCTCCCAAGTAGCTGAGAC